TCACCGACTTCAGCAACCTTACATTGGTGATATGAACGAAAGCAACTCAATGGAAGTGGACAAGACAACGTCACGACAGCGTCGCACACAGCCCATGCGCGCTCACTACACAGCTGTAGCTCTCGATCGCATTCTCAAAATAGATGTCTTTTCAATGAAATCAATTCGATGTTGAACGCTAAGTGGTATTTGTTCCAACAACAATCAGAAAAATTGGGGACCCTGAAATCAAATCATTCCGCCAATCTAGTTCATATGTAAACAATCAGAGGAAGTAGCGGGTTTCTACGACAACAACTACGTACAAAGGACTTTCTACTACATCCGTGAAAAAGTTATTTCGAAAGGAGTGCACCCATGTAGACAACAACATACCCGCAAGATTTTCGTCCGTACTGACAGTAAGCTTGTCCTCCGTTGCATTTGAGCTTGATTCCGCCTCCGACTCAGCACTTTCTGCAACTGGAGCGTTGATTTATTTTGTTATTTATTGTAAACATATCAATGCAATTTTCAATAAAATTTTACTCGTACAAGGTTCGTTATGTTTCTTCTCGTTACTTTCAAGAGGGATGTAGATCAACAACTTGAGTCGGTTTTAACGCGAATGCCGAAAATATTATCATTGAGCTATGTGAAGGCATAAAGAAGGTTTGAGGTAAAATGAATGAATTGAGGCACTGCACGATATACTGTTCCGATTGTGAACAAAAGTTTTAATGTTCACAAAGGATTTTCTGACCGGTTTCAGAAAAGAATTTTGTACATCAAGTCCAGCGACAATCTCATTTCTTCATTGAAATTGCTGATCGAACTGTGGGAACACAAGAAATATTCGTCTCGATAGTGCAAGCAACGGACGAAGTAATGACCATTATGGAAACGTACCAATTTCAGCATTTTTACAGTGCTCATATGAATCTTGACAACTCATAAAAGATGAACAAGGCATCGTCATGACTTCGCATCGGATCCACGCGCTCCAGTTACACAACTCTAGGTCACGAACGCAGTCTGAAATTCGATGTCTTTTCAATGGAATCAATTCTTCACTGAACAACAAATGGTGTTTGTTCCGTGCGCAACCATAGAATATAGGGACGTTTCATGACGGCTTGAAGCATATGAACCATTCAGATAGCCAATGTAACATAATGGAATGATCGTTGTTTTCAGCTAAGCTGTTGTTTTTAAGTTACACGGGGGTAGTTGCTCATAAAGTCCTAGTTACCAGCTAGCAGCAGTTGGTAACATTATTAGAAGTTATCGGACTTTTGATCTGTGGGCTGATGGATTGACTTAATCATTCGTCGTTAGTTTATGGATTCGCTATGGAAGGTAACTGGTTAAAATGCAAGTGAACGCTCAATAGTGTAGGGCTGAATAGGGGCTTCGAGCATTCAGAGTATTCTATGAGCCGCTGACCCTTTGTTTTATCTCGTGTACTCTTGGGCCCGATTCAAGCTCCAGCCCAACCCTTTCCATAACTGAACTGTTGATTCATAATGTAACTTCTAAACTAACGATCCAAATTAGATGAACCCTTAAAGACTTACTTCTTGAAACAGCTGCATTCAGATGAATTGCCCAGAGCGTAACAAGCAAAGCAGCCTTCATACTCACCAGTGCTGATGTGTCAGTACAATGAACACATTTATCAGCGAGAAGACGAATTTGTGTTCTGTTAACCATGTAACTGTGGGTGTTTGACTATGCACTTTTTGCTCGCGGATAGGAATTAAGCCACTTAATATTCATAAATAACTTCGCTGCCTTTCATAGATAAACGTCATCGATGGCATTCAAACGGACAAACGTAACCAAATTTCGTGCAACGATAGAGACAAACGTTTAAAACGCAGTCAGCAGCGTAATACTCGATCCACCAGCACCAAAAAGATTTGCGTTGAAAATCCTCAACTTTACTACGTTAGCAGCAACAACGGTGTTCTTTCCAGACGACATTCAGGACCGTCAGCAGAGAATTTACATCGTTTTTCTGAGCAGGTAATACTGATGGACCGTCCTACAAGTAAATGTGTCAAATGAAGATAAAGTCCGGTATAATCGAAATGCGGATCAAAACCGCTCGTGTTCTAGTCGAAGCTTGACATTAATATTTTTAGAATTGCAATCAAGGAAATGTTATTCATTATTGTCCATTGATTTTGGGAATTCTTGAGGAGATTGGATACCTGTTTGTCAACTCAACAGATCCTTCGAATACACGTGAGATAAGAAATGCGTGATCTGCAAATCATTATATTGCTTTAATATTTGAATGCAGATTTTATCATTTTGAAAAGCAATTTGATTGGTAACAAGGCGTTCAAATACGACAGATATTGCCACTTACACCAGCAGTGGCGTAATACTTTATAGATAAAACGCTGTAATGCAGATATCAATCCAGACAAATTGCAGGCGTAACGCTGTTGGGGTTTTATGACGTCTAACAATAGTGCAAACCCAAACAAAGTGTTGACGATGAATCGACATCAAACATAAATGAATTTATTCAATAGCACCCATAAAATATGAATTTGCAAACTGTTGACGATGAATCGACATCAAACACAAAATTAATTTAATCGATAAACAGCAAACAGCGGTAACCTAAAACTAACACCAAATGAAGCGTTAATGACGAACGAAGCAAGGCCAATGTGTAACCACGAAAAGTTTTAAGAGACAATTAATGGAAAGAACTCGAAATAATCATAATCATCTTCGGAAACTTTGAAGTTTCGAAACAAAAAAACATTTTTAGAATAATTGTAGTCAATTGTCAATCCTTTCAGATGCTAATCACTAATCGGTGATGCACTTGCAAGGATCATGCGTTGCCTATTTTTTGTCCTGAAGACAGTCATTCCTTGACTCAGTGAAAAAGTTCATCATTTGAAAAATGTCATAGCACGAAACTATGGGGAAAATCGAGGACCATGAAAATGCGATTGGCTCAAAAAAAGTCAGGGACGATGATTCGTGGAATTTCGGGAAAAACTCAATCTTGCCACCGTCCTGTACCCCAAATTCATCCTAAAATGAAACTTTCGAGCTTGAGTCAGAGGAGCTTGAGAACATGATTTCAAAACACTCCAAAAGCCGATCAAAAACACGAACTCAAAACACTCCTGAGTCACACGGATTCAATCTTTTATCTATTCACGTTACTAGCACACTACTTCCCAACTCAAAACACTCGCAAAGTCAACCAATTCACAAATCCCATATATAATCATATATATGCGGTTTATTGTACACAATTCAGTGGAATGCAACCTACACATTAATAAATGTATATTTTGCGAATGACTCTAAAGCGTTCAAATATGATCAAATGTTTATCATTTTATGTTATAAATCGTAATTTTTCCTCACTATTTAAAAAGTGCAGCATTCAGTGATGCTTCTTGCCGCTACCAGGTGATAATAACCTCGAATTTCGAATGATCGAAAATCCGAGGCCTTGAATTTTCGAGGGGTTCCGAATTTCTGTGCTCACCGTATTTCGATTACAACCGTCCAGACACTATGATAAATTACGTACTTTCTACGCATGATTATGTGTCGCGACTAGCGCGAAAAATGATGATAGTACTAAAAAAGAAAGTACTTGAATCAAATAAAAAACGTCGTGCAATGGGCCGATAGTGTACGGGTGTAACGCTGAGCTTTGAGGATCCGATCTGTTCAGAGGGCGTGAGTTCGATTCCGCGTCGGTCCAAAATCTTTGACAAAAGTTTGATCTCAAAGAGATGAACCACAAAAAAAAGGGCTTAGTTTCGACATTATGTCTATTTCACATCGTCGTGTGCAATATTACAATGCAGTTGTTTGCAATATCTATTGTTAAATCCTTACAAAATCTTTTTGAGTTCACTGGATTCGTTCGAATTCACACGAATTGGATGTTTTCTGTTTTGTTCTACGTTTACATAAAGTTGTCCTTCATGAAATCTACATGTATTTATGTAATATATCACATTACTGGTACATTTTCATGCATTTCGTTTGCATCGATCAGGTTTTGAAATGTGCTCTATGAGGTTCACCGGTTCGTGGCTTCACGGCTTTCGCTCACCCGATGATCGATGCATTAAGCATAATCTGACGAAATTTTTGATATTCTGGAATCGTTTCTTTTAGTTCTTCGTATATTCCCGTCGTTAATCGACATTCGTTATTTGTCCCAGCCTCCACTTTGATATTCCAGAAGTCTCCCAACCCCAATCACTTGAGAGTATTCTTGTTTCACATTCAAAATGCTATACTTTCAAAACACTCGTATTCTCATTGCTTTCGGTTTTAAATCGTTATTGCATTGTTTACTTTTTTTCCTACTCGTTTCGACGATTTCATACTCATTTTGTGCTGTTTATTTTCCATCCAGATTACTGAGGTTCAAAAATCTTTGAAAGTTGCCAGGAGATTTTGCATTATTTCAGAGAATATTGTAATTGCTGATAAAATAATAAAATCAGATGATTACTCTTACATTTATTTATTGTTCATTTATTCCCTTTCATGTTCGATAGACATACATCTTTACAATGATCCGAAAATTCGCTGGTTTATTTCAAAAGACCCACACGATTGTTTATTTATTGCTACACATGCTGCATGCAGCATTCATAAGCAAAAGATTGTTACAAACTGAAATTACGAGCAGAAGCCATGGTGCTTGATGAGAATAGTGCAAATATAGCCGCACATTTGATCTCTCGAATGATTCTGCGAGGAAAAAGAGATTTTTCACAACATAGAGAACACTACTAAAGACATAGGGACATAGAGGAAAAGATACTGAAGACTACTGAAGTTAACATTTTTCTCAGCAGTGTTGGGCAGACCAAGGAAAACGGTGTTACTCATCGTTCATCGATACGTTTAGCATGGCAAAATAAAGGATTAGAGGCGTAGTAGAAGGATTACAGAGTAGATGCTCCACATATATCGTTCGAAAAAAAAAGTTGATGATGTTTTTCCTTAGTCGGTTAAAGGAGATTCGGTACTTCCTGAAATTTGGTCCATGATTTTGATCACTTTCATCTTGAACAGAATTGAGATTACGATGATCAAAAGTCTGGCTTGTCTGTATTGCCTAGTTGTCCACACTTTCTTCGTTATAGGAGAAATTTTCAAAATATGACGATACTGAAAAAGATGAACGAACCTTGAGGAATACTTCCCTATCCTTCTGACGAAAGTCAGCCTGCATGCTTTGTTGCTGATCAATCGAATTGTACGGCATCTTGTCCTGACCCACAGGGACTGCAGTCCAGACTGGACAATTTTCAGTTCGATCACTGAGGTTGACAAAATTATGAGATAACTCATGCAGTGGGCAAGTAACAAGCGCTAGATTAATGCAATAGGATTTATTGAATTCAACTGTAAATTGTTAGGTTTCAACGTTTTAAAACTATGGGCTTGGATGAGAAACGAATGCGTGAGATTTATACTTTTCAGTTCCCAAAATTTGAGGACATTATATACCAAATTCAATTTGGTTACAATTAGTGCCGCCTAACTGCTAAAGTCTGACCTGTTAGCTCCGTTGTTCAGTTAACTGAGGATATTCTCAGGCTAAAAATTTTTCGCTTATTTATCCCGTCCATAACTTAGGCAATGTTGAACATAATAGGCAAACGAAACAGTTTTCGTTAGCACTTTACAGACGGGACATACCATTTGAAACCAGTTTTGGCGAAGGTGGTCCACATTTCTCCGAGGTGGTTGGCAACCTCATAATCTGCAGGAACGACACCGGCTTTTGCCTTCGTCCATGCAGAATTTTGTTTCCACAACAGCGGTATTTCCGCATAGTGGGGCACGGCTGAACAATTTTAACGGGTTTTCAAACCGCCTTGGATGGATTTCGACAATGTTGAGCCTTAGATGTATTTTCGATTTTCCCAGTAAGACTGAACCGGAATTCCCCATTTATTGTTAGAGACATACTTGATCACAACAATTTAGAAGAGAGACTGTTATGAATATAAGCTGAGAAATGAGTCAGTAGCAAAATATGCCTGGCTTTATTATTGCAGTCTAATCAATCATCTTTTGATTGATAAGGTTCTCACGAAACTGAACTGCATGAATTTAAAAATTACGTTTCCAGCCAGGAACTTCGTATTTCCGACCAACAGCTGATGAGTAATCGAATTCGTACATGAATACATTAGGATTTTGATTTTGAATATAATAACTGGCATCCAAAGCCATCACACTGGTAAAACCGGCTGCGGTAAGAACCTGTAAGTTTGTTGTTTTCTGATGATCTTTTAATCTTTAATTAGACAGATAATTGGGGTAGGTGGTGGCCAGCATGTAAACGTGTTGGTCGTGCTATTAGGCTTAGCACCAAAAATCATCAATTAATTCCTTCTAATTCATCGGCGTATGATATTTTGAAGTTGTAAATATCATGCTACTCATCACAATTTACCATGGAAATTCAAACTAGATGGTCATTACACGTGCATGGACCTGTAAGTGTTCTCTTTGCTTACCATTAGTGTACAAACAGTCAAAAAAATTAGACTATGCCTCTCAAAATATGGTAGAGTAGTCTCCAGAATTTCAAGCTTTTACTATGGGCTCGACAGATAGTTCGCCTTGGACGATAACATCAGCACGTTGCACTAAGCATGTAGTGAGTATTAGTTCCCAACTACTCTTGAACAGTGTAAAGTGAACTATTTCTCTGAAGAAAGCCTAGACTCCCTGCTAATGGAACGAATTGAATCAAATTTTTCATGCATGAGAAGGGACCAACATTGCTCTTGATTTTGAGCCACGCAAGATGATCATTATCAGTTGTGCCTTCTGGCTTATATTTTCCCACTACGAACTCCATGACCTTCTGAGCGTTTTGTCCGTAATACGCACTGCGTTCCAGCAAGGTTTTTTCAACTGATGTTTTATCGTATGAGTTCAGCGTCGCCATACCGCGAGCCATTTTGAAGAGATCTTAAAAACCGCCGAAACATTGCACATTAGAGCAATTCGATTGAAATGAGATAATGAAATTGGTATTTCAAAAAAGTCTGCTTTGTTTCATCGAACAGGAAATGATCGGAAAAAATCGTAGCAAAATTCAATCTCGAAAGTCACAAAAATTATTCTTCAACAGATTGATTGTCCTTGTCTAGCTGTCTTGTGTATGCTTTTGGAAGCGTGGTGCATCTAGCAGCTTGTTCATTGACCTATCCTAATATTCATTCTGGTTAATTATCTCAACTGCGCCAAATTGTCCAATGTTTGATCAGATTCATTGCATAATATTTGTTTAAAAACTTGATGCCACTTAGAATATTGTTTGGTTGAGTATTGGAGAACTGTCGATTTTCATTTGTTTGAAGCGAAGAAAACTTGCGGACTCACCAACGAATGACCACTCATCCTTGCAGTTGCCCATAATTACGGGAATATTTGGTCGTTGCTGGAACGTTTCATTCGGCATTCCAGTCAAAAAGTAATTGTCGATGCTCATTTTCCATTCGAAAACAGTCTGCAAAAAACATTACTGTATCATCGTTATCGTTACAGTCCCCACACTTAACGTTGACTTTATCAAGGCTTATTTGTGCCTACTGATAGAAATACTATCTGTGTACTAACCAAATCAATAACCCACGTTAGAACTTCATCAAGGCAGATGGTTTCCAACGCTATTATCGTTAACTGCGCGGAAAGAAAAATACCAAGGAAAGAGGAATGTGATATTACTGATATTGGTGATAACAGAGAGGCATAAACTCGTAATTACATGGATTTGCTGATTAAATGAATAATGGCAGAAATATGCCTAGTGATTCTTTTGCGATGCCTCATCACAAAAGATTGATCTCATGTTTTGTGATACTAACTTTTTATTGATTTTCCTATTCTAAACGAATAAAAATTGGATTGAATTGAATTAACCTTATCAAAATCCACCATTTGCTGCACGCTTTTTTGCGCCAAACATTGATCGAGTTTCCTAAAGTAAACGATAGCAGTTTGACATCATCGCTGACACTTTGAAATTACTTTTTCATAGGCATATTTCTAGTGCAGCTCCACTTTATAAACATTGACCATATTGCTGAATGCGCAGTTCAATGACTGGATCTCGGTGCAATTTTTCCGCAAAGCATTTTCGAGAATCAGTGATAGCTATTTTGAAGAACGTTAGCCGCAACTTTTTGATCATCAACATTATATGTGTGCTGATTTCGATTTATAAAATAGAATATTACAGAAGTGCTTGCTTACGTCAGTTTTTCACCTTTTGCTGGAAAATCAATGTCGCAGATTGCTTTGGCGAATTTTTCGCTGACTTTATCTCGACCAAAATAACCATCCAAACTGGTCATGATGGGATTCGAGTGAACAATGGCTTGTTGGAAAAGACCTAGAAATGGGAATTCCGCATGCATTTCGAATACAGTCCCTACTTCTGACTCGCTGATTTATTTCTTGATCAACCAAACCGAATTGGTGCCCTCTCTCTACTTTGGTATTGACTCGTAGCATTAGCAAAGTTGTTGCAATTGATATGAGATCGTTAGCTGAGGAAAAGTGCACATTTTTTACAGAATGTTGAATGAAACTTTACTTTGACTGAGCGGCGAGTAGGTATGTGCAGAGGCTGCCGAAAATCCGAATACGGTCAACCGGTTGGCATCACCACCGAATTTGTCGATATGCTGTCTAACGAATTTGATTGCCTCCACCTAAAGCATAGTTTCACTTGCGGATATCATTCCGCTATGGATTTGGAACACATTGTATTAAGTTGTATTAAGCACTTCTTCGGTTGCTCCGTCTGTTAACTATTCTCAGAGTTCAAAATCTCTTCTTCAATTGTGCTTGTCAACCAAATACTGCGAAAGAGACCATTCATCTTCTCAAGAATATACATCTCCTCTTTTTTTGGACACAAATTTCAGGATATGATTATTGGTGCAACTTTCTGCTATGCAATGAGTCAAACTCAAGCATGTCACATCGATTGAAATATCTTTACTGAGAATCGACGACTGAAATCTATGCTGATGTCAATGATTTTTATCAAATGGGATGAATCACTAGGCATTACAGCACGTACGAGAAAGTTGAGTGATTCGAAATAAGGCTGCTGGATAATTTAAGATAGTGTTCGTCGAGGAACAAGGTCCTCGACAGTAAGCGTTCCTCCGCGCAATTTGCTCCCCGACTTTTTTCGCGGGGACTCCTCCGTCCAATTTACTCTCTGCTGGGCGAACACTGGTTTAAGAACATCTGAATGGTCTTTACCAACCTGATCAAGCATACCCAAATTGGCTGGGAATTCATCGCTTTGGGTCGTGAAGAAACCCAAAGCACCGAGTCGATACTGAATAACCACAACAACAACATCATGTGAAACGAAATTGCTGACAACACCGTCAACGTTATAATCACTAGCTGCCCCACTCATGAATGAACCACCGTGAATCCACAACATGACGGGATATTTCACAGTTGCTGAAACCTGAAAATTTCCTATCTTGCCATATTGCGTTCAGGAATGAAATCACTAATCTCTTTATCAGCACAACGATTAGCGAGGTTTAAAAGATAGCGTTAGTGACGAGCAATCACACGATTTCAGGACGATATTGATAGTCGGGAAAGAATTCACAGAGGAACAAAGCGGTAAAGAACGAACGAACGTTTGGTGAGAAGATGTTCAATTTGAGGCAATCCTCACTCATTTCGTCGGCTTTCTTGCGTAGCTGAGGACATACTTTTGGCTGGGAATTGTAGACACCTTGCAAATTTGCTATTGGTTGAGGTTTCTGAAACGAACTTTTCTTCTCATATATGCTCGCAGTCTTTCAACTTAATCAGATTTCTAATTGCATTTCGTGAACGAGATTTTCTAAAACATTGCACATTTGATTCAATTGAACTGTGGATCATGTGGTAAGTGAACGCAATTGATCAATGATATATCAGCAATCGTGATTATTGCTGAAAGAGGATGGGTAAACCATCACGCATTAGGAAAAACATAAAATCATATGAGCGATCAACTTCATTGAGTCGTCTGTCATGGGGAAAATTCCAACGACACACGACGACAAATGAAGGCTGATGCCAGTGGTGTTTCTGAAGTTGCAACTGGAACACAAAGTGCTAAATTGGAACACAAAGAAAGCAATGTGAAACCTTGAATCGTAATGCACCAACTGGAGGCTGCGCATACGGAACACCAAGGAACACATCCGCTCGGCCGTGATACAACTGAGCAGTGTCGTCTCCTTAAAAAAAAAAGAAACCAAAAAATCTAATCGATTAAATCCTCTCAAACGGTAACCAGAATATCAACGGCTGACTGCCTGCATGTGAAGGTAATTTTAGACAAGTGGAAAGACATGACAGAAACTATCCAGAACTAAAATTAGCCAAAGTTTCGCGTTTCTGAAAGCAAAGTGACCTCCAGAGAAACTATTTCGCTACACAGTTGCCTAGTTTCAGTTGCTCTTCTTACTTCATCATTTGCTTAATTGGACAGCAGTTGAATCAATAATGCTGGTCACAAGCAGTGATTCGAGCAATTGTTCTGATGAATTGAACCAAAACACTGACCAAAATTCGCCACATAACCAGTTACTTGGCCCAATGAAGTGGTTACAGCGACTGAAGTTTCAGCAAAGCACTGGTTAATAAAGGCGATCACAGCAAGTAGCAGTTCAATTCTGGCCATATTAGATGAATGTACACAACTGCCGAAAAAAATGCTGAGTAAGCTGAATGACGGACGATTTCGATGTAAATAAGCGCAAATTCGGTCGAGGAAATGGGAGCACCCAGTCTAAAATTGAATTCGTGAATTTGATGAGATGTGCTTCTCTACAGCGTTTTTAACGGATGAATCGACCAATCGCATAATGGACAAATAATGGAACTCTAAAAACTACGCCCAAAAAGGGGTGAAAGTGCATGAGATTAAAGGGAAATTCTGTCGTTCGATATGAGAGAATATTGAGAATTCATAAACAACAAAATTAAAGCAGTTGTTTAAACGAAAATATTTGCTCTTGTTGACCTTTTTCGTATTTTCATTTACGATTCAAAAAGACAAATTCAGTATTAAGCTTCGAAAGATTAAACAGAACTTTCATAATTTTGATGAAATTCGTCTGTTGATCACAAATTCAAATAGACATTCAAATCTCAAATCACTTTCATCATTGCTTCGAAAAATTTTTGGTGCTTTCATTGACTGTTTGCCATCAGCTTCATCAACTGTATCGAAAATTCGAACGCAGTAATGTCGACGAGTTCGTACATTCATTATTCTTGATGTCAGCAGATCGGAATCCGTCTATAAATGGGATCCCCATGGGGAGAAATTAGTCGCTTTGAGGTAATTTGGGGGTGTTGGGGCAGGGGAGGGCGACAATGGAGGGGATCGTGAAGTTACTTCTGATGTTATGCGTGGAAACAGTAAATTATTGTAGCGCGAGGGATGAGGGTAATGACGGCCTGCCAGACCATCGAAAGGGATAATAAAGCACCTGAGAGTGAGGACCACTGACCTATAAAGAGCACAAATGGTGCACCTATGTGAACCGACAAACAATAAATGTGGATCGCTTACGGGTCTCCGAGCTTTTCATTGACTTCAAGAAATTCCTCTTGGGTTTGCGCTACCGTTTTGATTGATTCCACAAGAACTGGATGCTTCTAATTTGATTAATTTCCTATTTGTTCTGCACTGCATATACAGCAAACTCGACTATCGACGTCCCCATTGTATTCACTGCGATGTCGTCTCCTGCACTGAAATATCAAATTCTGCGTTCAACTATTACAGCAGTTAAGAAAATAGTTATTGCGTTGAATAACTATTGTTTTGCATATACGAATTCACCGTGTGTCGTTTTTGCGAATGCGGTATTTGCGAATTCAGTGCACTTTTATTGACGATCCATTCATGAGCGATCAGTTGAAAGTTTTTGTCTTTCCGCTCATTGAAAACAATCGATTGAATAACTACTAGAACGACGCAACAGCCAGTCTGGAAACTAAACTAGCGAAGTCTGAAAGCTAGAAATCGTCAAAAGAATGGCTCTCACTGAAAAACAAACCGTAGGCAAACAGTAGCGAAAGATGGCAAGCGATTTGGTTTCACCATGAAAAATGAGATAACATCGAACCAACAATAGCCATTCCATCTGATGCCACACCAAAAAACGTTTTCAAGCTGCGAAAGGGAAGTAGAGAAGATAAAAACATTGAAAACAACTCGCAATAAGCAACGCAAACAACACTTGGTGCAAAGGAATGAAATGAGCTGGCAATAACGGTATTGAATGATAAGAATTAGTATCATAAGCAGCAATGTTTCTATTCCTGTCGATCACCTTCAATTCAAGGAACAGAACAGAATAAAACAACCAAAGTGCGCATTACAACAGTTTGTCACGAGAGCGAAAAAGAAACACCACCAACGAAGAGAACATTAAAAGTTGACGCCGCTGAAGTCCATCGCTACAGTGTGTTAATGAACGAAACCACAATGATCATTTTAACGAACTGACATGAACTTCTAGAATCCTACGTATAATGTTTGAGAACATAGTGAAACTTGCAGATTAAAATCGAAACGAATGAAATTGAAGGCGAACATTAACAAATTTTTTTNTTTTTTTCCAATTGTTGTTAACATCACCTCATTTATTACTGCTTTCTAAACATTTTGAAACATCCACCCAACCGCTGAGCCACCTATTTGACATCCTATTGACGCAGGGATCACCCAGGCTTATACTGGTATGCTTCAGGAATCAAACACTTATTTCTAGGATAACATAGTGCATGACGAAGGAAAGTGAATGCATCTCCAACAAGCAAAATTCGGTCAGGATGAGATTCGAAACCTCGCGAGGAAACCCAAATCGACAAACAGGTAATCGCTTCAAGCACTCAGGCCACCTGATCAAAGAGCCTATTGCCGTATGAACCACCCACATTTATAAAGAGAGATTCAGGAATGCAACACCTTTCTCTTCGACAATATAGCATGATGAAGGAATATGAATGCCTCCTCAAGACAATTTTATAACGATGAAAGTCGAATTCTTCCCGGGTAGTCGAAATCGATTACCAGTTCATCGCCTTAATCGTTCCGCCACATGACCTGAAAAGCTAATGTCGTATGCATCACCCAGATTTATAACGTCCACCTTGATTCTCATCCTGATCGAACTGATCTGCTAGTCGGGCAGGCATTCATTTTTCTTAATCATATGCTATATTATCCAAGAGAAAGATGTTCTATTCCGGGAGCATATCATTCCAAATCTCAGAGTGAGCAATATTCCAATTGGTTGTCAGATCAGGTGGCCGAGTGGTTAAGGCGATGGAC